ACGCAAGCTCCACTCCCAGGTTTATACCATTCTCCTGCCTCAGCCTCCCGAGTAGCTGGGGACTACAGGCGCCTGCCACCTTGCCCGGCTAGTTTTTTGTATTTTTTAGTAGAGATGGGGTTTCACCGTGTTAGCCAGGATGGTCTCTCGGATCTCTGACCTTGTGATCTGCCCGTCTTGGCCTCCCAAAGTGCTGGGATTACAGGCTGAGCCACTGTGCCCAGCCTTTTTTTTTTTTTTTTTTTTTTTTTGAGACAAGTCTCTCTCTGTCACCCAGCTTGGAGTGCAGTGCGCCACCTTGGGCTTCACTGCAAGCTCGGGCCTCGCTGGGTTTGCGCCATTCTCCTGCCTCAGCCTCCCAAGTAGCTGGGACTACAGGCATCTGCCACTCCGCCCGGCTAGTTTTTTGTATTTTTTAGTAGAGCCGGGGTTTTCCATGTTGACGAAATCACACCGGATGATTTCGATTCCTGACCTCGTGATCCGCCCGTCTCGGGCTCCCAAAAGTGCTGGGATTACAGGCTTGAGAGCACCGCGCCCTGCCTTTTTTTTTTTTTTTTTTTTTAAAAAGGACAGTGTCTTGCTTTCTTGCCCAGGCTGGTCTCAACTTCTGGCTTCAAGTGATATCCCACCTTGGCCTCCCAAAGTTCTGGGAGTATAGGTGTGAAGCCTGGAGTATAGGGAGGCCATTGCAGGTGGTGAGTCCTCTTGGGCTCTGCTTCAGAGAATAGTAGGGTTGTGTCACAGACCTGGGTGGTTTGGGTACCCCAACTCAGTGCTTCCTTCCTTCTCTCCATCATCCACTGCTGGTCAGCAGCCCCCCACAACCACTGGAATAGTGAGAGGGGGGAGAAGCTCTTGGATTTGCTGGTCTCCAGGTCACTGTAGTTGCAGTGAGCACTGTTGATATGATCATGCATTCCAGCCTGAGGTGGGAGGGCAAGGATCGTTCTATAATAAAATAGATGACTATTATATTTTTTTTTTTTCTTCTAGGAGCAGGAGTTTTCATTCTTGTTGCCCAGGGCTGGATGTGGGTGATGTGCGGTGTCCCGGTCAAGGATTTCTGCTCAGCTCGAGCGAGTAACAGGCGTATGTGCACAGCAGTAATATGTTAGTAGAGGGTGTTCATTGCATAGAATATACAGATATGAAACCAATTGATGATATTATCTTAATATTGGAAAAAATACTTCTCATAGAATATCTCCCATTGAATGATGGAATTAATTAATGTGTTAAAATAAAATAAATAAGTGGTCTTGTTATAGGGCTAATGGCTATTATAAGATCCCAAGATTTACGTCGATAGTAATGTAACAATATGTATTATGTTTGTCAATTGTTGCTCTATGTATACTTAGTATTTATAATAATATCAATAATCCTTAAAATAAATTTATATATTGTGTTTAGGTTAGATTAGTTTCTTTCTTGGCCAGGCACGTGGATACACTGTTAATTGTAGCATTTTGGGGAGAACAAGGGAGGCAGATCACTTGAAGGTTAGGAGTTCAAAAGCAGCCTGGCAACATGGTGAAAAACCCCGTTCTGCTAATAACAAAAATTAGCAGGCCCCTGGTGGTGGAGCACCTGTAATCCCAGCTACTTGTGAAAGGTGAGGCAGGAAAATGCCTGAACCCTGAAGGCAAGGTTGCAGTGAGCTGAGATCACGCCATGGAGGAATTAACTTTTATAACCTTGTGAGCTGTGTTGTATCATAAATTAAATCATCTGAATAGGTTTAATGAGTGAGTTTTCTGTTTGCTTAACTCCTGATAGTGTTTATATACCACTAATTATAAAAGCGTAGTGTGACAATGATCGATATGCTAACGAAATTTTTCTACAAGCAACCCCCCGACCCTCCTCTCTCAACCTGCTGATGTATGTATGGCTGTCCCCCTCCTTTACTACCTTTCGAAGTTCCACGCTTATAAATATTCTTTTATTTTTTCTTCTCATCTTTAGAGTTTGCTGTTTTTTTTTTTTTTTTTTTTTTTTTTTTTTGAGACAGAGTCGTCGTCTCTGTCACCCAGGCTGGAGTGCCGTGGGCCACCATCTCGTTACTGCAACTTGACTCCGAGTTCAAGAGATTCTCCTGCCCTCAAGCCTCCCAAGCAGCTACAGGCACATGCCACCATGCCAAGCTCAATTTTTGGTATTTTTAGTAGATGACAAGGTTTCACTCACGTTGGCCAGGGATGGTCTCTGTCTCTTGACTTGTGACTGTCCCGACTCGCCTCCAAACTGCTTGGGTAAACATGATGTGAGACTGGTCTGCCTGCATCATTTTTTTAAAATTTTTTACCTCTTTATGGTATGTACTTATTTTTGTTTGTTTTCCCCTACTGAAAATGAATGTTTTCCCCTTATTCATCAGTTTGCTCTTCCTTTTTACTTTACCTTTATCTGTCTATATCGCTGTAGAATGTCTTTCTAAGAGAATGAGTGTATGTTTTCTATCCAGTTTACAATTCGTTATTATAAAAATACATTTGCCCCATTACATTTGATTGTGATTCTTACATATGTGTACATTTCTACCATCATTAAAATGTGGTGTACTTTTTATTATCTTCTTTGCTAAATTGATTCCATTTTTAAGATTTGTAATCCTTAAAGTCCCATTTTTTATTCTTTAGTGACATGTTTAATAATATAATACGTAACTTATTATATATCAACTATATATTTACTCCCCTCCAAACAAACACAAGAAATAAAAGACATTTCTCAGCCAACCCTTCCCCCTTTACTGGTTTATTTATTGTATTGTTCTCAGTTAATTTAATCTGGTCCTGCTGAGAATCATATAATTTAGAACTTTTTGTGTGTTTTTATCACTTATAATAATGTTTTTATTTATTTAGAGATTAACTTATTCCTCATTGTTAGACGTTCTGTATTGAATGTAATGATTCATTTTTGGAGAACTCTTTCATTTCGAAATTTATTCACTGACTTTTAGTGAATCTTACAGTTCTAACGATTCTTTATACTTTTTTCTTCTGAACAAATGTATTGTTTTGCCCTAATTCAAAAATTTTATTAATTGTACTGATAGTGTAATAGTCGTACAATAATAAGCTTATAATACAATAGGAAAGGCCTAAATTTTATATCAATGAAATTATTAGTGGGTGGAAACTGGTGCAATGTAACATTATATGCAGATGACCCTAGAACACGCTGAACTGACACTGCCATATCTGTTAAATGTCAGATTTATGTTCCTGTGCCAATGTTCATCGGTTAAACGAATTCTGGGGAAGCGGACCTTTCAAATGTATCCGCGCTTCAGAACTTTGCAGAACATGCATGGTAAACCTTGTGAATACTGTGATATAGACTCGGCCTCCCAAAGTGCTGGAATTACAGGCTTGAACCACCGCGCCCAGCCCAAATTTTTTTAAATGAAAGAAATAGATATGGTTTCTCTATAGGGAATGGGCTGGAGGTCAGGAGATCAGGAGGGGACAAGGAATGAAG